TGCCTCCCCCCATCCCTGTTTTAATCTTAATTTACAAGCAAAGCTTCACTACTGAAGAAACTGAAGGGCCTCGATCTTTCATTCATGTCTGCATTAAGAGAGACACATCAGAGGTAAGATTCCAGGTCAAAAATAATTTCCAAGTAATGCTGGTGCTGATATTCCTGTCTTTGCAGAGCTTTTAAGTATCTTAAGTGTACACAGTCTTTCTGACTCTTAAGTAACAATGCCAATTGCTTTAGAGTAAAATACAAATCCCTGCAAACAAGGTAAAGACTGCATGTCACTCTTTATACAGTGATGTGGTGTAATGCAACTAATAAATAACATGCTCTCTTCTAGCAGGGACAGGACTGCTCACATACTGGCTGCACTTTGTTAGATGCTCCGGCGACCTCAAATCAGAGCCAGTTATTTTCAGATGTTTGTTTTGCTGGCATTGTGTTCTGCTAATTCCATGGTTCAATTGGGTATTTAAGAGAGACTATAAACATGTTCAGATGAGATGATAGGGAAGAAATGTTTTCACTTCTAATCTTCCTTGTTAGCTGAAGTAGCTGAAGAGGTTTGCAAAGTATAAACATATGCAACAAAAAGCCATTTCATATTAATGGAAAATAACTGGCACAAAGAATATGTGGTGCCAATTAAGTGCTTATATGTTCCAGATAATGCAAAGAAATTTCTGAGACAGTAGTTGAATCAATGCGCAAAGAACATCTGCTTGAGACTAATACTTTTTCGGCAGGCTACCTCAGCTGCCACAGAGATTTATCCTTTACATGCTTACTGTGGCTTTTTTCTATTGATTGCATTACATTTTCCAATGTATCATCTAGGTAACCAGACCTCTGCTTCCTTGCATTCACATCAGGAGGTAAAACACATCTAACAGTTACCAGGTCTGAGACATTTCACACTCATTCTATGAACTCGTCTATACTTCAGGAAGATAAAGAGAAGAGACGCAGAAAATGTATGAGCTAAAGGACAATCACTGTCCTCCATCTGCATGTAATTTGGGAAGGAAACCTCTCAAGGAAAATTCAAAGAAAATATTCAAAATTAATAAAAAAGAATAGCCTATATTTAAAAGATGAAGATATAAGCAAAAAAAGGATCTTTAAGACCAAAAATACTCATAATCTTAAGATTGAACTTTGCAGACTGTGATTATCTAAAAAAGTAAAAAAAAATTGCGTAGGCACAAAGAAGTAATTAGAATATAAAGATATAAATCCATTTCGAGTTTCAGGACATACACCAATTTCAGCTAGGGCTGATGGAGGTTTAATGCTTATGGGCAAACGACTGTTGTTACGGGAAGTGTCAGCCCTCCCTGCCCTCGGCCTGTTTGCCCCAGACCGGCAGCGGATGACAGGCCGCAAAGGCAGGATTTGGAAGTCTGTAACCTCGTTATTTGTGCACCGCTTTGCCGCATCGTTTGATGGAAACATTCCTGTTCTTTCTTAATGGCTGATATTATCACTCCACAACAGATTGAGCTGGACCACGCCGCAGTGCTGCCAAACAATAAAATCAACTAATAATAAACTCAGAGTGGAAGAGTGGGCATAAATCTCTTGTTACAATATTGTAATTAAATTCCATAAGAGCTAGTAATTTTAGTATTACAGTCTGGATGTTTTTTTTTTTTTTTTCTTCACTTACCAATGAAATGAAAATCATACAGAGAAACTTGTTCAAGGCTGGGGTTTGTGTGACTTACTCTGCAGTGGTGTCAGCCATTTATAATCAGTAGGACTGAGGGCAAAGTATTGAGCCAAGCGCATAATGCAGCGACAGCCAGGTGTCCTAACTTGAACTTGCTGTCTTTGATTTTGCTGTCTTTGCCAGCACTACAGGTCCCACTCTATAAATCTCACAACAGTCATGTAAATATTTGACTACTACTGCAAGTTTATGTACCGGGTGTAGGTGCTCAGGCCGGTGGTGGGGCCTGCAGGGGCCCCTGTGAGGAGCGGCTGGGGCTGCCCTGCGCTGGCCCCAGCCGGTTCCAGGTGGTTCCAGCTGGTTCCAGGCGGTTCCAGCTGGTTCCAGGTGGTTCCAGCCGGTTCCAGGCGGCTCCAAGGGCCCCAGCGCAGGGCAGGGCTGAGCCCCTCAGCCCCGGGCGGGCGCCTCGGGGAAAGCCTGGGGGAGGAAGGGCAGAAAATGTTGGGCAGAGAGAGGAGGAGGGAACAAAAAGAGTGAGAAACGGCAGAGGGAAACAGCAACATTGGAGGAGGAGGAGGAGGTGCTCCATGCTGGAGCAGATGTCCACACTGCGGTCCATGGAGGTCCCATGCTGGAGCAGGTGGATATTCCTGAAGGAACTGCAGCCTGTGGAGACCCCACACCGGAGCAGGGTGGAAGTGTGAAGGGAAGGAGCAGCAGAGAGAAATGTTCATGAACTGACCACCCTCCACTCCCACGTGTGCTGTGGGGGGGGAGGCAGAGGAGTCTGGAGTGAAGGAGTGAAGCTGAGTTTGGGAGAGGGGGGAGGAATGGTGTGGCTTTAATATTTGTTTTTGTTTCTTACTACTCAAATCTATTTTAATTGGCAATAAATTAAATTAATTTTCCCCAAGTTGAGTCTGCTTTGTCTATGACAGTAATTGGTAAGTGACCTCCCTGCCTTTATCTCAACCCACGAGCCTTCTCATCCTATTTTCCTCCCCCATTCCACTGAGGAGGTAGAGTGAGCGAGCGGCTGGGTGGGTGCCTGCCCCATGGCCAAGGCCAACCCACCACAGTTCATCTGTCAGCGTCAGTCAGGCCCAAAAATTCTCTTCTTTTGTGCATTTTTAGAAGAGAGATAGTTGGTGATTTTAAACTCTTAATTATGTGCAGGTGTGTGTACACACAAGCACATCCACATTTACTACATGCATTCTGCAAGGGAATCCGAAATGTACCCTTTTAGAAAAAGAGGTGGGAAAAACCCACACTGGCAAAAAAAACCCCAAACCCCAAACCCAATTGGGATTAGGATGATAAAGCTTGATTTCTGTTAACACTGACACTATAGTGTTAAAACTCAGATATTGATAACTTGTTCGCTTGAGAATTTCAGGGTTTTTCTTCCAGAAAGAAAGCATTTACAGTTATGGGTCAGATACTGCAATGGATATGCTACTGAAACATAACATAGGGTGTCACTGTGGTTAAAGCTGCAAAACAATCCTTGAATTGTGACATGAAGGAAGAAATCTTAGGGAGAGAACAGGGGAAAAATAAACCTATTGCCTCTTGTTAGCTGCCTCTCATCCATCACCTTACAGAACTACATCCATGCTTGTGAAGGAAAGACAGCACTGCACCAACTATGGTCATAACTTACTTGCTGAAAGGCTTCTTAGCAGCATAGCTTCTGCATTAGAGCAGCTCAACTCACAAAGACATAGACATAAATAGCCCCTCTTCAAGCTGTTTAGGTTAGGACATGACATCTCACAAGTCAACAGAAATGCAATAATAGGTCTCCATTTCTGGGAACTATTTACAGTACATACAAGACATAGGAAAAACAGCATTGAAAGTAGGTATTAGATATTATTCAAATGGCACGACTCCTCTGCTCTGACTTGGGATATTTGCTTAGCCATCCCTTTAAATGCAGAAAGATACATTTGTATTCATCCTAAGCTACCTTATAAATAAAAGCCCCAGGGGAGTGTATGTCCCAACACTTCTTGACACTGTTTCATTGGCATCTCTTTTTCCTACAGGAAAAAGGCTGGCTTTTCCTTGAAGGATTTTTTTTTTTTTTTTTAATTTGCTTATTCAACAGCAGTACTCTGACTCCATTTTATTCTTATGTCAATGAAAAACAGCGATCAAGCATGACATTACATGAGAACTAATTTTTGCTGTTAAGTAATCACAATACCTCTAGGACCTCGCTCCAAGGATTTAAAATACTTAAAAATACTGTTGCATTATATCTCAGATTAACTCCTGAGCACTGACAGCATCCCTACCTTATTGGAAAGGCAACTGAAATGTAGATTAATTACACTTTCTTAAAAACATGTCCTGGTTAATTACAAGCCTCACAAGGGAAGAGGAAGAAATTATAAAATCCTGTTTCCTCTGTTTCTTGCTTCAAATGCCAGGCCACCTTTCCTTACTGTTTTACTGCATAGTGATGTAATTGTCTTTCCCATGTGCATGCTTTGCTTTTTTATAAAAGATCTTTCTCTCAGCTTTCTCCATGGGAGTTTATGAAAAAATGCAAAGATAGAGAAGGAGAAGTGGGGATTAAGTGACAAGTATACAGATAGTTTTATTTTAGATTACATGCTAAATTCAAATTGCATTCACTTTCTTACAAATCCTGAAATACCTTGTTCTAGATGGGGTTATATGTTGGATCTATTTGAGAATGACTGAAAGGAGGACAACAATACTTGTAAATTATATTATGAAATGCTGAAAGGTTTGTACAAATCTTGAATTAAATTAAATTCTCAAATTCAGCATATTATTGGGTACACTAATAGGCATGAGAATAACAGCTGGACCACTCAATGGCAAAATTAGTATTTTACTATAAAATTTTTATATATCAAATTAACTTGTTATCATGAAATATTCTCTAAACTCAGAAAATGGTCTTACACAATACTTAAACAAATACATGGTCCCTCAAATTAAAGCACTCATAAGATGAGTCACCTGTAAGCAGAATAGCAAAAATTTTGGAAAGACAATCAATCAAATGATAATGCAAACCTCTCAGAGGATCCAGCTTCACATGAGGGAGAAAGAATATCAATGTACGTATAGACAGACACTGCACTGGCATTTTCTGTTTTTCACATAAATGAGGACATTTTACAGTAAGTTAACATGGACAAAACAGTGTCCTCAGAAGCCTAAGCGTGCAAGCCTTTCTCATTTAACTGGTACTCTGCAAAGGCAGAGTGACTTGACAAAATCAGAACATGTTATTTAAAAGAAACCATTAACTACTGGATTATATTTCCTTGAATACCTACCAAAAGCTGTCCAGCAAAGCAGATAAACAAAATGAAGGAAAGCAAGAGAAATGCAGCCCCAAATGAAATTCCAAGAATAGATGTTCTACAAGAAATAAGAAAACATGTATTAATTTCTCTGTTACACATTTGTAGCATGACCGTTCTTTGTGTATAACACTGATGATACGAAAAATTACCATATGCAAGTTGCAAGTTCCAAATATCAACACCATGGAAAAACAATTCCAATCCTTACCAGAATGACAGGTCTTTTTCTTGCCATTTTCTCAACTCAGGAATGCTTGAATTGGCTTTACCTCTCACTTTGCAAAACTATTACCATGAGAAGATAATAATTTCCACACAAATAATTTAAATGAGGCAGTGCATTAACAGCAGCAATGTTTTGTTTTGTTTTAACTTTAGAAAGCCTGTATTAAATAAGATCCTTATTGCTTTATTTTTATGCTGTTGATTTCATAATTTAAGAGTCTAATAGATATCCAAAATAACCTTATTGGTAATGTACATTCCCCCCAACGGCAGGAAAAGCAATAGCACGGGACAATGATGCCCAGTTTTCAGTGTCTCACAGCTAGAACCTGTGATATCTGTGATGCTGCAGTCTCCCAGTCAGCAAGGGCCCTAATATAGTGACCGCTATTTCATGAACAGGTAGGGATTCAACACGTCTGAAAACTCCATTTTGTATCAAATTTGACTGGCTGGCCAGTGAATTCCGAAGTATCGGAGGACAGGATAGGAAGGAAGACTAAACACCATGAAGAAAAGAAAGAACAACAACAGACTTTAAATGAAAAAAAATTGAGTAATCTATACCCTTCCCAAAATCATTCTTACTCAGCATTCTAGCTCATCCTTTTCTTGTGTGTTATAAATAGGAAAGTCTAGCCAAAATAGCATCACTGGATACTCAATAAACAGAAACAGGGATGCAGAAACAATCCGTGCATGCATTCATTCCACAAATGTGGAAATCTCTCTATATGAATACCACAGTAGAGCGTAATTGCTCCATCAGGCACCATATGAGAGCTACTTAGCATGGCTGCCTAGGGAAAGATGCAGTGTGACCTAATTACGTTTAATGAATGACAAGAGGAGGTCAGAAGCTCTGGACCAACCAAATTGTTTAAGCAAGGGAACTAGATGCTGTCATGAAGTCCCTCACCTGAGTGTCTGCTTTCAGTTTTAACCACAGATTTGACATTTTTACAGAACTAAAAAATCTCCCTCAACTCCTTTGAGCACCAGCAAATGTCTTATTTTATCAAACCTTATATGCTAGAAATATTGGCATGACATTTTAGAAATGTTTTATATGCCTTGATTTTTCCACAAAACCATAATAAATGTTAAATGTTAAGTTACCTCATCCATAAATGTACGATTTGGAATTAAAGTACATTATTAATAAAAGCATATATTTCTGTTCTTTAGAGATTATATCTGAATTTAAATATATACATTGTAGAAATTATAATACTAAAAATTTAGGAGTAGAGCTCTATGGATCAATTTCCTTAGATCATGTACAAATATTGGAAAACATTTTGATCTGTTTCAACAACAGTGTTATAGAAGCTATTTTCAGGAAAGAACAAAAAAGCATTAACTTCACAAACCAATTTGATGCCATATTGCTGCCATTAAAAGCATTTTGGAGAATAATTTATGAGCTTCCCTGCCAATCATTCAGAGATCCTCTTACATACTAAGTATTCATCAGATTTTGGGTCGATGTGAACAGCTGATGAAAAACAAACAACTGGCAATTCACAACATATATTAATCTTGAAATAATGTTTCTTTTAGAAGTTATTTGAAAATCATTATTGTGTATGAATACATGTTCTCTGAGAATTTCTCATCGAGACTGAAACAATAAGCTGTGCATCACTGTATGTAGAACTACAGTCTCTACTCTTAGGAATTTAACAGAAGAGATGAAAGAAAAGGAATATAATTAACAGGCTTATTTTTTACATATGCATAAACACTTCCAAGCATGTATGTCCTTCAGTAAAATTCAAGTAACCATTCTTGCATTTCAAACTATTGCTATTCTTTCTCAAACTATTGCTATTCTCTGTATCCTACGAAGGATACGAAAAAGGAGCCTGCACACCTGAAGAAATTATTCAACACAAGAATAGCCTTATAAGTCAAGTTTGGAGTGCACCCTTGTAGATGAAGAAATGAAGATGTTTGTAAGAGAAACTGGAGAGCAATGGAAATAAAACTAATGTGGTATAAGGAGAGCTTATGTGAAGAGTATTTAATCATGCGGGCAACAGGCAAGAACAAGAGGTCTTTGTAGCTGTTTTACATGATCTATGATGTTATTGGGGTGGCACAAGAAAAAGAATTACATAGCAAGGCAAACAAGATTCTGATTATCAGGACAAAGAGAAAAGGACTGAAGATAAGGAAAAGTGGTATCTTAGAATCCAGATTTGAGTGGTGAATACAGAGGAAAAAAGCCTCTGTAAGGTTTTTGCTCCCTACACCCCCTTCTCTTCTGGGAACAGCAGGACTTCTGTTTCAGTTAGGCTAAGCTGAAATCATTTCATGCTGCTCCTAGAAGGAAAGAAGTGGGCTGAAAATGCTATCATGGGAAGCAAAATACTAAAAGTTAAGTGCCACCATAAACATGCCTCATTTGAGGCAACGACCATAGGAAAGCCATAACATGCATTTATTTTTTGTCACTGGAACATTACAAACACAGGACAGGTCTTTCCAGTAAACTAATCTTGCCTTTATTGTGTAGAGTCATCAAACGCATTGCACAAATCACCAAATGCATTGCAGTGACAGATTTGGGCAAACCATTTTGTCAAAAGAGCACCTGGGATCCCATAAACCAGCTAACTTTTTACCCGCCTCCTCCTACACTTCAAGGAATACCCTCATTTCTGAAAGTTCTGCTCTCCGCTACGGCGCCCCACCAGGAACCCTGACAGGACAACCCTTGACAATAACCTACAGAGGGACAGAGTTTAAAACTGAGGAAACAGCATGAGAACTTCCCAGGCTTCAGATAGTTCCAAGTCTAAATAATTTTTGAACTTGGCTATCCTTCTCATATTTTTCTGGTTTCATCAGTAAGTATCTGTTTTGAATATTCATTTTTATCAGGTATGAGATTGGAAAAAAATTGTATTTATACATAGTTATGTCTTGTTGGTAGCATTTAAACTGAAAAATAAAAATTTATTATGACCATAAAGATACTGAAAAATAGAGAAGAGAATGTATTGTTTCTACACTTTTGTAACTTTTAGGAAAATATGTGACTTATGGCACATGTCCCTTAATGGGACGTAGAGAATTTCCTCAGCTTGCCAGGTAATTAATGTTCATGTTTTGAACTGTTTGATTGTAAATTCTCTTGAGGTGATAAAAACATAATGAAGCAATTACAATTATACAAGGCAATACTGAATTCAGACTTTTTTGGTATCTAATAGTAGTTATTTCTTTCTTAATTTGACTGATGCTTTCACTAAGCCATCAATGGATTCAATGGCTATGTAGACTGTATGGCAGTTTCAGTGTTAAGAAAAATCATTTGAGTATTATAACTCCACTTGAGAGGTCTTTTTTCATCAGATACAGCAGAAAACTAGCTAGTAATGGTGGTTTTCTTTCGTTTATACTGTCTTACATTTTACACAGCTGCTTTCAGACAAAGTGTTTAAATACTACCTTTTCTATGCATAAATTCAGCTGTGCCTGACTGGAAATACTCTGTTAAGGCCTCCCAACCATCTTCCATGGGTAGAACAATATGACTGTTAGTTTGGCATGACTCAGGACAAAAGGATACAATTTCTTGAACATAGCAGCCTCAGAGAGTGAAAACTTGGGAAGAATCTTAAACGTAGCCCCAAACAAATCCCTTACTCAAATAGCACAGGAAGTAACTCCTGTTCAGTAGGAATATACTTTCATCAGTTCACCAGTTTGCATTTCAAAAAACAACACTACCAATTCCATGTTAGTTGATTGTTTCCCTAAATAAAGAACGTAGGGTTGTTGTGAATTACTAGAGATACTTCTGTTGCTTGATAAACCAAGAATGCTAGAGAGCTGCTGAAGGCCTGTTCCGAGGAAATGTAATGATCAAGATTTGCTGTCATTTTAATGTGACAATAAAGACCTACTCCTCATGCTACATTTCACCCCAAGATATTGTTTACTTGATTAAATTTATATTTACCACTTTGTGTAACGTTTATTATGAAAACACCACATCAGTTTATTGATCCTGGGAAAATTAAAACATTAACAAATAATTTCAGCCTTGAAATAAATGTCTTGTGATCTCAGAGATATTACTTGCAACTTGCTGGATGTTACTCACCATCAAATATCTCCAAATCTACTTTAAAGCAGCAGGTGGTGTGCCCGCACAGAAATCAATGATATTACACTGCTGCAAAACCAGATTAGTAGAACAGTGAATCAATAAAACCCAGTGACAGATGTAGTTTATCTCTCTGTTCACCATTTAAAAATCCTGTAGAATTTTTGGGAGAAAACAAAAAGGCTAGATAGAATTTTAGACTAAACTATGATTTATTTATTTTTTAAGGGTTTTTTTTTTTTTTTTCTGGAAGGAAATAACATTTGCAGCACTAGAGTGTGTTCAATTTAAGCTACGTTTGTGATGACTACATACACTGGTGATTTTTCAACTTTTTTTTTTTAATTTGCAATTCTCCCAGTTTTCCAGCAAAGATGCAGATGCCTGTATAATACCTTGCCTTTCTGTCTTCCATTTTTGCATCTCTTAAATTAATCACAGGCCCCTTAAAGCTGAGTACCATTCATGTTGGCAATACCTGATTTTACACTCTTGCTTTTACAATTTAATATGCAGCCCTATACAAGAACCAAAAGATAATTTACATTTTGGCAATGAAAATGATAAATCATATGTATCTTTTGCTCTGATGTTAGAGAGAGATCATGTAATATAAGCAAATGCTTTTACAAGTTGGAGGACACTTTCCTTAGCTGAATGCAGCTCCCTAGGGTTCACTAATTTCAAGTATCATCTGATATATTTTAATGAGCTACACAATTGGTTTAAGAGACATAGCAAAATGAGCATCCTACTACATGTATGATAGGTGATAAATCTAGATTCATTTTCATGACTGAAATCAAAACATAAAACCAGATTCATAAATCAAACTGCTGGAAGGAACTAGGTAGGTCCAAGTTTGCTTTTTGGTATATCACAAACCACGAATTTCCCTGAATTAACTCCTGTACTAACCAAAATACGTACGAGCTTGTAAAATATACTTACTATGCAAAATGACAGATAAAATCAGTCATGAGTCTTAATTTCATATTTTGCAATAGTAATGCCTAAAGTCAGACTGAACCATGTGCAGGATACTGCTGAACTCTTGGAAGAGTGTCCCTTTGCGCCTTGTGTCTCTATGTTAGAATCTAGCTGGGAAACCCTTTGCAACGAAAATGCTGTAACATCTGAACAGAAGTCCGTAAAACTTTACACGTGTTATAAAACAAGTCTTCAGTATGGAAAGTCAATTTATAATGACCCAACAGTTCCTTCTGGCTTTGAATTAAAATGTGAGTAAGTACTACAGCACAAGACCAATCAATCAACTGAGGTTATAAATACTACTCCTGAAAGCACTGTGTGGGAGAAAAGACTATGAGTAAAGAAATACTGTATCACAGGGAATATACACTGTTGACTTTGAAAACAATTGCTATAAAACAAATATCAACTTTCCACTATGTAAACAATCAACAGCAAAATTCCATTTTAAGAAGCCTAGTAAAATATTCTTTATTGGACCTGCCTTCCAGTTTTCTTGGCCTTTCTAGAATATGCACAGATAGAAAGACAGCTGATTTATATGCACAAATATAAATTAGCTCATAATATATAAGTTCCATTAAAATAATTATTCCAGCAATTGATTATAATATTTTAAAATTAGTTTTAAATAGACATTTTATGAATAGTAATGCTCTGTTTGCATGCAGAATAGAGCAGTATTATCACAATAATATGTTAAATACTTTTATTTAATCACCGTCCCAATTCTGCAATCCATTTTGTCCCACTTCAACGTCCAATTGTCACACTTATTTTACATGTAATTTTAGTTGCACAAATTTATAGCTTGTATTAGTTTTTTTACACATATGGATTCAATTCCTGTCATCATCACATATTTTTAAAGCAAAAAGAAAAACTAAAACAATGAAGAATTGATACTAATGCTTGACACCACACTATTGACAGCGTTTAAAATTAGAAACAAGCATAACTCTGAAAATGGGCTGAAATCCTCAATCTTGTTCAATTTCATTTCCATGATTTGACCTCTGTAATCTGACAATTCTGAAATTATTTACTTATACATTTTTATTTTTTACATAAACGAGCAAATATACATAGGAATGAGTACACGTTAAATACCACTTACTTTGGCAATACCAGAATCTGCACAACAAAAATGCAGAAGAATATGAGACAGGCACAGGTCACATAATACTTAAACGCAGGCAGAGTAGTTGCTCGATACTAGAAGAAAAAAAGATAACATTAAAAACACAATTTCCAAAGCAGATAAAATATCACCCAACTGAAATTTCAGCTTAAAGATGCAGGCATGTATAGGCAGTCTTTAGCAACAGTAAATTTCCTGTTGTTCAATGACTTCCACATCCACTCACATAGGGCTAGGGATTATCAGGCATAGTACTGAATCCTTTTACTTCTTCAAGAACAGCTTAAGTAGCCATGTCAAACGGTTTTGTCTTGCTCCTCCGCAGAACAGGATATCCCAAATTCATCATAAAAAGTTTAATTAAAAAAAAAAAAGTGAAAGCATTTTTTAAAATATTTTTAGGAATGGCCAGCCATTCTTAGCTGATTCCAAGTTTCTTAGTCATTAATTCCCCAAACTGATTTTCAATTATTAATAAATATTGAATGGGCTGAAACAGTTATAAAAAACCATAACAGTCATTTAGACAGGAAACTTCTGAGCACACAAAGCAGCAAAGTGCAAACTGTGCTACAGATATGTATAAACATCCTATTTCCAACAGCATAGCTAGCAATGATACCGATATTTACTGTGGCTATATTAGTATTCCAATTAAAATATTTTATGTCTGTGTTAAAAGGCCTCATATGTCCACTGATACTACTAAACACTTGATATTCTTAGAAGAGAGTCAATTTGATCTGTTTTGTCATGAAAAAAAATCTATTTATGAATCTCCAATTAGCCTGTCTAGAGACATAAGAATTAAGCAATGAAATATTTATCAGAGTTGTTCTGCTATTTGAGATAGATATGTCTAGATTGAAACCAATTAAATACTCAAAGGGAAATGACCTAAGTATTGGGCCTATTAAAGTTACTTACCCTATCAAAGTTTTTTTCAAAGGGTAAGAGTGTTAAATTTCATTATTAAAAGAAAATGTACCAAAGATTATTTTCACAAAGTGCTCAAAATGAAAACTTCACAAAATGGAAAGTGCATGGGCTGTGCTTTCTAACTGCAAGCACACAGCTGTGTCTTTGTTCTTAGTGCCAAGTTCTGCCCTTGAAACGGGTGCACCAAACTTTATGTGAACATGTAGAAATTGAGTTTAGCAACCCAACAGCTTTTTTTCACTTTTGAACTGTATGACAAATTAAAAGCAATTCTTATCACATACCTAACTGAATTTCAAGGCACAAATATGACTTTGCTTGATGGGTAATTTGGCAGCAAGTTTTGTTCTTCCACCTGTTAAGTATGTTTCTTGTTTCTTAACGGTCTTGTCCAACAATTTTGGACCTTGTGCTGCTGTTAAAACCTCAAAAAATTCCAACCCACTTGTGAATTCATTTCAGTGTTTCACAATTCCCCAGACATTTCCCAATGAAGTCAGGCAACTCACTCCTTAGGTTAAATAATTATTTTGATTTTTTTACCTTGCTGTACTTTCAGGTCCTACAGGGCCTGAAAAGCTCATGTTTAAATCAAAAGCAGGCTTCTTACTGAGTTCTTTAAAGTCAAGACTGGTCTGGTGAGTCATTCAAAGGGATTGAAGAAAGATATTAAAAAGCCGGATCCAAAAAGAACAATTAGTTCTTTCCCGTTCCATAGCATTCTACAGTCTAAAAGAGATTAGACTCCTACAGGGAGCATCTACACAGCTGAATAACTCAGCTCTCTGATTTTCTCCCAAGTCCTGATTCCCTGATTGTCCAAAGTGCACACATGATGGTTTTCTCTCAAGTTCTCTTTCAGAATTTATCGGTTAACACCAGCCATATTAAAACCTGAATGTGCTCCTAGGTACACCTTTGATTCACTCAGTGTACCCTTTAAACACTATGGTTAAAACCACACCAGGTCTAGCTTGTCCTCTCTTGTGCCATCTTCTAAACAGCCTCAACAAGCCTTGAAACTTTTTTCACCCTCATGCATTGCCAAGAGCATAGAACACATGCCTTTGGCACCTGGCCATAAGAACACTATTCTGCTGAGCTGTGAAAAAATCTGAAAATTATTTCAGATGCTTTGAACTGAAAGATATCTACAAAAATAATTAAATATGTATTTGACCAACACATGGGACCCAGAGGATACTTGTACCTATTCTGTACAGTGTGAACACAGTATGGTAATACTTCCTCTACCCCATTCTCATCAGGCTCACTCACTTATACAGCCAGTTGTGGTCAAACCTACATCTTACTTCCCTGAAGGAACAGCATAACTGTTCAGCTATCAGCTGCCCTATGCTTATGAGAAAGCAGAAAGAGGCAACTCTCCAGTCTTCTTGTTGAAGCTGTGTCAGTATGTAGAAATACACTCAAGCTCCACAAGGCCACAAACCAAAGAAAAGGCCTGACTTTCTAGGCTAGTGGTCATGACAGTCACCTACAAGGGAGGAATCTTTCATTCTGATCATTACTGCAAGGACTAGAAACAATATAATTTACTCTGTCTGTACATATGTGTCTCAAACATGTTTTATCACACATATTAGTCAGAAGAACATTTAGTGTGTTGCATCCCAGACAGCTAGGAATTTATCTTAAAAAGCATTTAAAGTATTATTTCTCTGGAATGACTGTGAGCATCAAGTGCATATGGAGCAAATTAATGAGCAACTGATATCATTACAAGACTATCATTACTACAGGTGGAGTCTTTGAGACATGCCAAAAGAAAAAAAATTACAAACAGTAGAGTTTGATAAATGCCTTTTGAGGATGTAGGTGATGGAACTTAGGAATTCTTTGCTCCAGTTACATCACATTTGGACTATCAAACCTCCTCCCACTTCCATGAGACTATGAAAATTTCAAGAAATTCAAGTGAACTGCAGAGCTCTACAAACAGGAAAGCAGTCTCAGACATCACATTTATAAAATTTCTTCTGTAAATGAGCTAAAGTATTATTATAAGGTTTGAGCACTTCTCCCCGCAGGAGAGGCGCTGAGGCCATGGCTCTGTGTTACAAAAGCAAGGGATACAAGCCTCACTTAGGATAAGGCAAAGAAGGAATTAACTGTGAATTTGCAGTGAAAATAACTTACTTCTTTTTCCAGAGTCTTATTATAGAAAAGAAGTGATATTCTTTGAATGTCTTCAGATTTAAGCCACTGCCTAGAAGAGAAAAGGAACATTATCATTGACATAAGAATAAGGTAGTACTGTCTTTTTATATTACTGAAATGCATTAAAATAAGAAAATCACTTTGAATAAAGCAAGTTCTTGTGTATTGCAATGTATATGGTGAATCGCACTGACAGTAAAAGCAGAAACTACAAATCCCCTCTCCCTTTTGACTTCTATTGCTAACGTACACATGAAACAAAAGCTCAGATGAACCATTTTTTCTGTGGATCGTTCCTAAGGACAATCAAGGGAGAGATTTATATGATGTAATTCTGACACTGCTATTCTACTCACGTCCAAAATACTGTAGTATATCCAGTGCACAGAAGAGAACCTAGATAAAAGCAGTCCTTCACAAGGTACCTTTAAGAAGCACACTGTTACAATATGCAAGAGTGGCAGGTAAATTACACTTTATGAACTCCTATTCCGAATGAAAATATAAAAAAAATTATTAAAAGAGGTGGAGTGATTTTGTCTTTGAGCTGTACTAGTATCTTGACCATGACCCTGTACTCTAGAGGTAGATTTTGATCTTTTTACTGATTATAAAAACTTCTTCCCTGCTTAAAGATGAGAAATGCAAAATAGAATAAGTACTTGCATTGAAATCACAAATCTATTTTAAAAGAAGTGAATCTTGACAAAAGCTTGACATAACTTCTACAAAATTAAATGTTCTAATATGAAAGTCAACATTTATTTTAATGGACACTTGAAAAGAAACAGAACATTTAAATTTCAAGAGGGTTAGGTTTCTCTCACCTCAAGGGGACTAGTCAAATTTGAAAAAAAAATTTAAGCAGACTACTTCTGTGAACATGCAATATTTGAGCTTGAACAATAATAGTGGGGCTTGAGATTTTTTTGCAACTTTTCCAGCAATAACTTTAAATTAGGCTCTAAGCTAGTAGTGTAGCTAATGCCTTCTAAATAAAAGGGAATGTCTCAACTGACAGGCTGCAATGCAAATAAGTAGCAGCAATGAACCACAGTGGAATATATCCTAAATTAAGGTCCTGGGAGAACTGGAGTAGACAGAGTGGAGTATAAGCTATTAGCTTTGACTTGTGAAATCCAAAATATTTGTTTCCTTGTCTGGGAGACTGTCCCTGTTCCTGTGCAATCAGTTTCATTACAAAAAGGGGCTGAAAACATATTCAGTTCTAGGTATGCTTAATTTAAAAAATATATTTCCCAGTTTGCTCTGCAATGTCTCACATCTATGTCTGATCACAGTTAGGACTCTGAGAAGAAACAGATATGATAGGCTGCTGTACATATAGCATGATTTTTTTTGGGTCCAGCTGTAATCTACTGGAGAAAACATTCAGTTTGTGGAACATTTTTGGTCAACTGTGAAAATTAAGTGCAAGTCTTTTTCCATTTAGTTATAAAAACTGAACAAAAAGTAACCCTCTTCTCCAAGTTGCTAACTAATGTCCTTTTTTTTCTTATGGTATTTGACTGGTGGATTGATTTAATTACCATTACCACACTGCTAAAAAGTTCTGTCTGCAGATCTACTCCCAAAGGCCTAATTTGTCCTGTACACACTTGATCGCATGTGAAGTCAATAGTGCCACTTAGAGCAAACGCTGCCTCATACTCCACATTACAAGCTCACATTTTCAGGAGCTTTTACTTCTACTTTAAAGCTCAGAAAAAAATATACTGGTTTTAGGTAGCAGGTGTCAAGAGGTCTGAGATGACGGAAACAGTATAACAGAAAAATGGAAGTGGAGAGTAAGTACAGAAGAGGGCACACAAAGTCACATACCTTTGGCACAGAGATAAGGGCTGAAAAATTCTGCCTACAGCCTGACTCCCTGATGAGTCTAAAAGTTACTGACATATCTGCAAGTACGTGGGGATATGCCTCCTGGGAAGCTAGGTACCAAATTTCTGTTTAAATTCTTTTGCAATTCAAGGAACACCACAGACAGCCAGCTGAATTCTGCCAGTATCCACAGAGGCGTGTGGTTTGATAGGGCTGGTACTGATTGACAACGTGCAGCAAGGACTTAGGCACAGAACACAGCAGCCACCATGACTTAAAAAAAAAGAGAGGAAAGAGAGTGTGTCTTTAACATAGTAACCTACTTATCAAAGAGCAAATAACTTTAGTTTAGCTCCCTCTGTAGGTTTATATTTAGGTAGCAGATTGCTGTCCATCCATCACATGTCCTGCAGAAGTCCCGTAACCACCAAGATTCAGGGTGGCATAGCTAGGGCTGCTCACCCCCCTCCTGCGCGGGACAGGCACTTTGCAGCCAGGAATACTTTGTTCAAGGTACGGGGAAAAGAAACATGTGGAGAACGTATGATGTTACACCCTAAAGGCTAAGGCACTCAGCTGAGAGACAGAAGCTCTGTTCCTCACTTGCTCTTTTAAATCTGTATTTACATACCTTTTAATGTAGTGTTCTAACAGAATAATAATGAATAAACAGGTCATAACTTTCCTCATGCAACTTTGCAAGGAGCATTGCCAACTAAATCTACTACTCTGAATCATGCTATAAGGCCAGCAGGCTGCTTTTTAGATGCCACAGTTTCCTTTGCATTCCAGAAGAAGGAATTGAATGCAGAAGCCCTAAGTTACTGACAGTGTGTGCATGTGGCGCTTGGCAGTTTTGTAAAAAGATAGCTAGGCTAGCTTGTGAACCAGCAGGAAAGCAGCGAGTGAGGGAGCCCAGGGAAAACGCTACACTACTTTAGAAACCTGAGGCACCATTTGAATATGTACTGCACTATTTCACACTGTGTAAAACCAAATTCATCTGGACTACAGCTTTGTCTTGGACTAAGAAGATCTGGCCTCCACATTCCCTTATCTTCCAGTTACTGGCTGTTAAACACCTGGGCATGTAAATGTCCAAAGACCCACATATTATGACCATTTGCTCACAACCAGTTACTTTTTTCACAGAATGACACATGGCAAAGAACCATGATGTGGATGAAAAAGTCAGACTGTACTAATGGCTCAGGGTGGAAGAAACAATAGCTCTGTACAATGAATATTTGCTTTTAAATTATTGTCATGACATTTTCTAATCTAAAATGTTAAAAGAACAGTAATTTTAATACCGTATTTTATGTACAATAATTTTTTTTTATTTTCTTCAGTCATAGACCTAATCGCTATACAATCCAAACTGTACACTAAAAACATTTAGAAATACCAGTTTCCTCATAGATTTTCTTAAAAGTTTGCTTCTTGATTCACAACAGCAAAAGATTTAGCTTCACAACCACTCCATTAGATTAGTTGATAGTGTTATTCTCATTTTACAGGTGAAAAATTGAGGCACAAAAACCCCACAGAATTATAAAGAAAAGAAAAACATGATTAGCTTTGTGTCCTAAATTAGGAAATATTTTATCTATTTTTTCTGAGTGCTTAGCATTCACATAGTTAAAATATTATTGAATTAACTTGCCATTTGGGGAATCAGCACTTTTGACAACTTATTCTCAGGTACCCAATTGAATAATAGCATTTAAGTGATTCATTCAGCAAATCAATACAGGGATAGGTAGAGAATCTAGTTTTGGAAGGTGGCATTCAGCCTCTCTGATATATAAGATCATTCCTTATCTTTCTCCAATTCCCCATGTAATTCACAAAAAGAACTGAAATTTTTCAGAAACCTTTTTTATCACATAAACGTCTTTTATCCCCAAGTTTCTCTGAATTTAATGCACTAATTAGGTTAAGACAGGGATTCTCTGAGATAAAACAACATACCGTATGATCATACCAATACTTTATTTTAATGCATTTATACAGATGCTTTACTTTTGACATCAAACTACCATTTTTACAATCCACTTATCAGAGCAAGTGTACCTGAAGACACATAAAACCTGCCAAAATTTACATAGCTGTTTTAGGCGAGTCTAGTATAATCAAAAGGCTTTGTTTATCACGACCTACCCTCTTTCACTGTATTCTTTGTATGACCTATAAATATCAACACTCTTTTCTATAAATAATAATGGAAAAATATTTTCCTAAAGCCAAGTGCCTTTTAATAGGACTATCAGGTGCAAAAAATCAAATGTGACATATAAGCATTTAATAATTAGCTGTAATACTCAGCTGATTAAGATTCTGAATAACAGAAGTAGGGGGAAAAACATGTAATTCAACACAATTATTGTCCACATTTTTTGAAGGGCAATTCCCTTATTTCATCACAAAAATATGAGAAACCTGAACACTTATTTTGGACTGGTATTGATTTTTCTCTCAGTCTTACCTATTCACCAGCAAACAGAGAACATCAATACCACCTCCAGCTCTTCCTAGGACACGGAAAAAATACATGCCACGTTGCCTCCCCCAACAATTTCAATATGCCATCAAGCTTAGCCTTCTCTAAGTAATCAACCAACCAGTTGAAACAAAGAGATATTAAACTATGATATTAGGGAAAGTTTCTAATTCTGAGATGTTTCTGTGACAATTGTGAAGCATCAATTTTCACGTCACTCTGATTCCCGAGCCAGCTATTTCTTGTGTCTTACTTCTCTGCTATCAGAGGAGATAATTCTGTAGAGTTATGGCTATGAGTGTACAGATACGAACAGTTACAGAGCAAAAATCCCTTTACCATGAAGATCAAGACAAGCCAAGACCTCTGTCACACCATGATTCAAAGGCACTGTCGTATCCCATATAGTAGAAAATGTTACTGTACAGCCTATCTTCACAATGTGCAGAGCTTCCTCTGCCAGTATGAGTGACACTTTTACTGTTTTCAGACTTCTGTGTGCACGTGGGAGCAAGAAATAGCAAACCCTACCCTCTGTTGCAGATTTATGTCAAAGTTGAAGGAAGGAGACAACAGAAGATAAAAACATACTTTTGAGCATTGATTCCATCAATGGCCTGGATCATCCTCTCATTCAGTTCTTCCTCAAACCTTCTTTTCTGTGATTTTGTTCTGAAATGAAAAATGTGGGAAGTTACTTTGGAAAATCATTACATTGTTAATAAACATTAACTTTAAAAGATGGGGTGATAGTTGGCATAAACTTGTGAGGATAGTAACATTTTAACATTTACGCTGCAATAGCAGCTATAGGCTTCAGGTACACTGAGCCTCATAATAAACTCTTAACAAAAACAGCATAAGCTACAGAGTCTGACACAAACACACAAAAAACTAGAGTTTAGCTTTTAGGGAGCACTTAAAAAACAAACACAAGAAAACTTTTCACAAAGAAACGAAACCAAGAGAGTTCAAGAAATTCTGGTTGTAGGAAAGTCTTCCACAGTGTTATGATTTCATGAAGAAGAATGGGAATATGCTCAAATTCATAAAATAAAATTTATTCTTGTAGTTCTTTTTAAAAATCCTTGTCAGAATTGTATGATGAGCAATAACGTGCTAGTGCACTGAGGCATAAGTATTCGCTACTGAAAGCCTGCTAACTCTTCTTTTCTTGGAAATATTTTATTATTTTTAATAAGAAAACTGAGCACCAAGTCTGAAATTAGTTTCAAACATATGTCATATTTCTCTATTTATAACTTATAACACAACTGCAATGAAAAAAGGGATCTTTCCTTTCACCGGACTCAGCATGAACCCAACAGACGATCATCAGAACGGGTTTGTCTTTGCTAACATATGCTACTGCAAACATCCATCAGACCTTTCAGCAGTTGTGCTCTCCTTAAAAATGGAATATTTCAAATATTTCCAGATTATGTCTCTGCCGCTTGAAAACGTAAATCCAACATTAACTTAATAACAGTGTTTTGTCAGAAGTCAACAGACAGACCTGAAAATTGACTCTTTGCTTACCAAAGTTTTCTAAACCTACAAACTGAACCCTGTCAAAGGTAACATGGATTTTCTTCAACATCAAGTTTTTGGGTTATTTCCCCAAAACTGATAACCTGTTGCAGGATTCAAATTCATACAGAAATTATATTAGTGTACTTACAGTAACTTTAAACAACCCAACTGATTTCATGCCTATTCAATGCTATAGAATTTAGGTAAGAAAGTGTTTACAACTTATTTTTCACATATGAAACAGTCTGCCTAGGAGAAGTAACTAGACAGATGAGGAGACAATATCTAATCACACTTAATCCCCTTGGGCGATCCCCAACAACGTAAGACTATCATGTAACTAGGTAAGAGCTAAGACTGCCACAAACAGAAGCCTACAGTCAGGCTTCAAAACCCACATTTTCATATTCTAATAAAATACTGATTTTCAAAGTGCATATTACCCTTTCACCTCTCTCCTGTGGGAATGACTAACTAGCTTATCCAGAATCCTAGTTTACTGCCTTGCTGTGGACATTAGACTCCAGTAATGGTTTCTAGAAACTCCTTCCATAACATGCTATCAAGACACATGGTAACATCTGTACCTTTTGGATCTATTTTGGAGTGGAATTTAGAAACACAAAAGCAAGAACATTTCAGAATCTTAAAGAACTGCATTATTTGCAAATACCACAGTGCAATGATCTTTCTTTTTACCATAAGGCTGATAGAAACCCTTCTGACATACTGTCCAAATGTAAATGCTCAGTTTTACAATCAGAGACTGTTTTTATTAATGTAATGCATGTTCTGTCAAAACTTGCTGATCTTCTGGAATATAGCAATATTTTAGATAATTGCATAGCTCTCCAGTAACCTGTGATTTGTTGAGGAGTCATTTACCCAAGCAGAGAGATGGGGAAGGAACAGACAGAATGACTTGTTTGCACAACCAAAGACAATAAAAATACAAATTTTTAGAGGTTCTTTCAAGTGATTTTATTGTATCTGTGATGTTGCTTATAATTTTGCAAGAAAGATATTATCTGAAGTGTTATCAGGTCATTAAAATAAAAATTAACCATTCCAGGTTTCTGACAGTGCTAAGCTTGTTTTGTAAACCAATGTTATTCTTTTCTCGATTTAGAAATTCTGGGTGTTTTTAAAGAAGGGATCAGTTCAACCCTGTTTCCATTTCTTACCACCTTGCCCTAGTCATTGAAGCAGCGGGATGAAACATTTTGTGTAGCAGGAGCAGTACAGGAAGACCACAAAATACCTTTTGAATGTGTACTACTGCAAACATACTACAGACTTTGAAATAAGAAAGCACAATGCAAATACAAAGCAATTAACAAAATATATAAAATGTCACTTTTAGTACATATTATGTTGTAACACAACATAATGTTGTGTTGTAACACAGCAATTGTAACACAAATTAACAGCCCTTTCCCTCTTCCCTTTTCTTACCTCCCTGTGCCTCCTCTCAATTTTCCTGCATATAATTTCCTCCCCACTGATAGAGTAATCGGGTTGTTAGAAGAAACGAATACTAGCCCATCAACATATTAATTCAGAATAATGCTGTTTGTTAGCAGGAAGCATATTCGCCATTCATATGTAACATGTCTGACAAATCTGTTTCCATAGCCCTTCTCTGTGTAAGAAATATCAGCTGAAAAAATAGTTTGGGTGAGAAATGGACCCTCAATATTTGAAAGCATGCCTTATATACATATGAATGCATATGAAAGTATATTTATTTATATGAACTTTATATGAATAAGTGATTTTTAAAAATTAATTTACCTCTCTCTGCAACGCTGAAAATGATATTGTCCCATGGGAACATCCTAGAAAACATAAGAAAGTACCTATGAACTACAATAGACTTTGACAACCCTATGTTGCTTTAAAAATAGTGTTGAAAACAGGGTCAAGTAAGGAGAAAAGTTTCCAATACAAATACTTTTAGCATTAGATTAAAACTGTCCAAAAGAAAAATCCAGCCAAAAGTGAAGATGGAGTGACCTGGAGACAAACTGATCTATCATTATAAACACTAAATAACTAATACAACAGTCTGAATCCAAGAATGTTTTGCTTTACTAGAAAGTCACTGCTTCAAAGTCACCGCTGCTTTAATGTAGCCCAAACTCCTGCCAGCTTCAGCAAAAACCAATGCTAAGTGTTTTGAAAAAAAAAGACCTGAGTGGCCAAACACAGGCAATGGTCATTCTTTTTTATTGATAAGCAACAGCAGCCATCACAGCCACATTTATTTGGTGATTAATAGTGATGGCTGCATACTTCCTGTAATGAACACGTCACAATCCACATTCTGATGCACTGTCTTTATTGAACAAGATGGGTTAGGTGGCTTAATCCTATGTTCTCATATGTAACACGAACAAACCTGAATGCCAATGTTGAAAACTATTAGAATTTACCTTTATGTTTGTACTTCTTAGAAGTAGAAGATAATGCAATGTGCAAGCTGTGGACTGACAGCACCTTACTGACAGCAGTAAAATAGCATCAGCAAAATTAAAAACTAATCTCTTCACTGTAAGAGGTGTAACATTGCACTATAGCACTGTGAAAATCAGGCCATCAGCCATCAGCCACAGCTGATGAGTGGTTAGTGCACCTTCAAAAGGTTGATGTTACAGGAGCATGGATTTGGTTCCCAGAGAACTCTTCTAGTGAAGTCCATTCCAGGTACCACAGAGATATTCTAACTTCACAGCCCTTGCTCCAGGTTTGGCCATGTTCCAAATGGAGAATGTGGCTAAATAGCTAATAAATCTCAGGGAATATCTTTGTATCAAAAGTGTTCCTTCCCAAAGATGTTGCACTCCGGCTTTATGTTCAAAACGTCTTTCCACAAGGTGAACGGCAGCCACTCTACATGCTGTAACTGGGACTCAAGTTCAGAGGGACAAATTGTATATTTTAGTAAGTATATTGGACTCCTTATAATTCAGAGATGCACTTATAGAACGACATGGCTCCTTAGAGTCTAATCCAAAGCTCAAAGGCCAATGGAAAAGCTCCCAGCAACTTCACTGCGTTTATGCCCTGTACAAATGTGTGTATCTTCTTCTATACGAAATAACCAGGTATTTAGCAGTGAGCACCTTTTTCCTTTCAAATATTGCTAAATTGATGAAATGACATAAGTAGACCCCTACTGTTGTGCTAATCTTGCCGTTTTCAGTGGTCATGCTGTCCCTGTGGTGCAAGTGTGCAAATGGCTTGGCTGCTCCCCAAGATTCCAGGTACCGGGTCATGCGGACAGAAGCTCTCATTTTGGCTCCATCAAGAGTATGTCGAGGTCTAATGTGGTGCTGAGGGCTTCGCTTCTCTCCCTGATTGACAGAGAATAAAAGGTGATATCAGCCTTGGTGTTCATTACCTTCTGAAGCAGTAATGCATCATCTGGTACAACGTATCTGCATGCTTAGGAACTTAAAAATGGAGAGATGCTAAGAACCTGCAATTCTTAATGATTTTGCTGGGAAATATCAGAGACTTATTTCTGAAGAGCGGGAAAAATTTGCAATGCAAACATTATGTATTTGTACATGTCAGTAATAGCTCTGATCAATATCTTATGGTAGTGAATTATTCAATAAAGAGATTAGTGGTCCTGCTCAAAAATAACTACAACTGGCCACAAAATAAAAGTGCTACTAACCTTAGGATTGATTACAAAGTAAGTCTTAACATTATGCTCTTTCAGATATGGGTCCCTCACATCTCCATCCCCATCTTCCACTTTGTAAGCTCCATTCAAATGTGCCAAGGTGACTGAGGTGATGTGAACACGGCTGAAATTATATTTTAAAAGAATGACAGAATCACAAATACCAATCAAAAGCATAATTTGAACCTGATCAACCTTTTTTATTAGCTTTTTTCAAATACTTTTTATACGCTGCTCACTTCATTTACAGTCCCTCTAATCTCATTTTTAGAAGTTGTAATGGGCATAAATCTAAAGGTTTGCATCCACAAAACATACTCTTTAAATCACAGGAAATACTGAGTGCCTGTGGTTTTCTTTTTGGAAAGACAGCACTAAATTAGTTCGAGCTCCTCCATGAAGGCTGATGGCTGAAGACATGATACCTATGCATTACTCCATGGTATGAAAAGCCATGTGTCCAAAGGTTAACAGAGAAGCCTCTTACCCTGGGACTCCTCCAGCTTCCATGTGATTTGCCAGAGTAACATCGTGTGACCACACATCGTACTGCCACTTCTGTAGCCCAATAACACCACAAAGCACATTCCCAGAGTGCACTCCTACACGCATATTAATATCAACTCCAGTTGCATCTCTCACTTTCCTGTAGTTGAGAAGAAAATCTGTGTTAATATACATAATAGGGCCTTTGTTTTCTTTTAATTTAGCAGTCAAATTAGCAGTAACAACGGTGATAACATTTATTGCTTTTTAGCATTGCCTCCATTCTTTTTATGCTAGGATTATTTTTACATATTCCCTTTTCTATTATCTATATTTGCAACTATTTGCATCAAATATTAATCCTCAAGTCTATGTCTGAAGTTCCTTCTTTTATACTCATTTGAAATTATTTAGGAGGGCTGAACTAAGTAGTGGAAATTTTCAGTCTCATGGTAGAACCTAGGGACTATTTTTGTTCTACAGGCAGCCTTTGGTATAGCTTTTAATGCAGCGACTGTCCAACAAACATGTTTTGGAGATCTGGAACTACTGTTATGCGCCCTTCTATGTGAAGACCCTAATATCTACGTTGGAGACCTTCTCACATCTGGCTTCTGTCAGGTCCCATCACTCTTGCATGCCTGCTTGCAAATGGTTCTGCTATGAGAGGAAGGATGTAAAACACAGCACCTCAGGTTATACAACAGGACGGTGGCTCATACACTTTTTGGGGATATGGGCTCAGTGCCATTCAGGCTCTGGAGAACATAGGCTCAACAGCCTTCCACATGGTTGGTGAATGCTGTACCCACTAGATTGTTACACAAAGAATGAGAGGCCACCCTCACTGTCCAGATCACATCCAAACCTTTGACCTTTCCAGTGACATTAGACAGAGTTGAAGTGTCTGTTCACCCCAACCGAAATCTCAGAAAAGCCCCACATGTAAGATAGGCATTAACCTCTCCAGAAGAGACTCTTCTGAATCATAGGTGAGTGACTAAAGTCAAACAACCAGAACATTTTCAGCCATATGTCATATGGGTTCCTAACGACGTATGTAAGAAGTTATAAATTTAATTCAGATGTCTACAGGCTTATATAATTCTAAGAAATGGGAAGATCATAACTTAACTGGATTTATGTATTTAAGCCCCAACTCATGTGGACCAAAACCTAACCAGTAATAAGGAACATGTACATACATTTATCTTGGGGGAATTCAGGGTGTTGATGGAAGGAACAACTATAGAATAACAAACCCAAATGGCTCCCATATATGAGCCAGGTTCATAGTTCTAGCAACATCTTCACTCTCAATGACGAGAATCATCGGCTCTGTACCTTCTGAATTACATAATTAAAGTGGCCTGTTTCTCTTCTCTTTTTTTGAAAGGGAACATAGAACTTAACAGGCTTAATTTAATATGGTAAATCCTATGTGTAAGCAGTAGTTCTCAGGTGTTCTTTTTCTGGGAAATGAAAATGAGCATGACTGAAAGTATTTTATTAAACTGTGTTTTGAAGTTATTAAACTCTATCAAGTGTTTGATATCTCTTTTCACTTTGCCATTTTACACTTCTCTCCTGTAGCTGACACACTTGAAAATGAACTGCTTGTAAATGATCTTTGTAAGCAGTTGGCAAATGACAAACACCACTTTGCTCTGCACAAGGAATATGACACAAGCTTAACACTTTGGGGAAAAAAAGTGTTTACAAAACTGGGCAAAGTGGAAGAGGAACATTTATCATCTAGGAGTGCTTGTCAAAAGGCTGCCCTGCCATATTCTGGAGAGCAAGCCATAAAGTCTGCTTTATAATAAGCTCTCAGGAGTTAAGGAAGGGAGCAAGTAGGATATGTTCCAGAACTGAATCTTCTCTTCTGTCTCACAAATTAAAGAAACCATAGAAGATTTTCAATTGGAAGTGTTACACTGGACCAAATTAGGGTTTACTACTTCTCTCATGCTTCCGAACAATTGCTGTGACGATGCAGGCACTGAATACGTCTAAGAATGTAGTCTATCACATCCCCATAGGACACTTGCCTTACCTACACAAGTATACCTGAAACTTCCCACTATTATTTCATTTTCTGCTCCCATGGTCTCTCTGGTTTTCCTCAGCGCACCAGTCAGTGTGCCCATCCTGGCGGGGCAGTCAAAATACTCATCAAGACTGTATTTTTCCCATTGCAGCCTGAAACTTGAGTTTGTAAGGATTCTGTTCTTCACAGGCATGGTTAGGTTGCAGGCAGTTGTAGCAACTTTATTCCACACAAGCAAGAGTTCAGGTCATTAGGAAAGCATCTACTCTGTTTATCTGAGCTTTATTCGTCGGTAATTCTGGACTAATGTATCAAAGACACACCTAGTCCTGTCTTACGCACCTTAACACATTCAGTGAGCCTTAAGGACTTAGTTCCCTGCAAACTGCCAGCTTTAAAAGCATAGTTCCTTTTTGGATCAGAGCTGCAGGAATGAAATCACAGCTAAAAAAAATATCTTATTTTGTATCTAGCTTTCAAATCGGTACAACCATCTCACCCAACAGCTTCTTTCACTTTCCTCTGAAATGGAACTCACTTCACGCTACCAAATCAAAAACAGCCTTTGAGAATCTGTGGCTGAGAAATATGTAAATGAGGAAGTCACCAGACAGACAAGGGGGTGGAGTTTGGGCTGAAAGAAAACAGCATATATATTCATACACAAACTTATTTTGACTTAACAGATAAGCTCTAGCCTTAAAGCACTCAATTAAGATGGCCAGTTCTCAACATCACAAGCAGCACTGGCATCTATGGCTTGATAAGGTCAGCATCCCACTCCTGGGCAAGCAGGCTGCAGACTATAAGAAATATTGGATTTGTTCTAACATAGAGCAGAAAAGCAAAGCAATTAATCAATGGGACTACTAACATGTTTAAATGGAAACAATCTGTAGCGTAGTGAGGCTGAATTGCTGAAAATGGAGCTACATATCATTAGCAAACAAGACTGAATAAGGCTTTGTACTACAGATCACCTGGTAATTTGGTAGAATTCCTCTTTATTGCTTCAAAGAGAACTGGAACTGAAACCATATTCAGGTGGTAAAATCTATATAGAACTGTTAATCTAAACAGTAAACTGCTTTATTTCAGTAAATTATGCACTGAGGGGTCAGTCTGCACCTTAGTGACTGAATATAAAAAAACCTCATATCTGACAAAAAAGACACTTTAGACAGAGCGAGTCAAACGTATTGAGTGACACACTTCCAACAACAAGAGTATTACTACTTCTAGCTTTACAGGCCACAGAAGTATTTCAGGAGATGCTTCCACACAAACCTGCAGCAATCACACAACAAAATACGGAGTTGATTAATAATCAGTAATTTCTATTCACCTGCAGGCTGCAACACTTGACCTAATACTTCGAAAGCATTTCAAAACATGGGGTACAGATTCCTCACGTCTTACAGAGATGTAAACAGGCTGTGACAATCAGGCATCTGTCTACAGGAGTGTTGTGAATTCTGACTATGGTAATAAAGTCAGATCAGAATGTGCTGTACAACTGAAGATAATTTTCTACTCTGCTCTGGTTTTACCAAGGAGGACCTTATCAGCTGGCATTAACAATTAACATACTTGATAGCAGCTTGAGCAGAAAGTTATTTCAAAGAAAACTGGGAAGTTCTGAAGAGTGAGGAGCTCAAGTAAAGCATTGCACTGTGATGTGTAAAATTACACTTTCAGTTATTTGTGAAGGGCAGTTTATGGCTTGAGCTTAGCATTGTTTTTCTATCAGCCTGATTTTTAAGCCAACCCCCAAAACAGGGGTGGAGTCAGAACTAAGGGACAGAAACTCTTTTACCTACTGCTCTACTGAAGGGATGTCAGCTTTAGTTCCTAATATGCTAGAGAAACAATTGGTTTAATTATAATAAAGTTCTAGTATATCTAAATGAAAAAGAGAAAGCATCCAGTGAAAGCAACTGAGGAAACAACCAAATCTGTAGATTTTAATGCTTGGCAAGGAGAAGTACTTCAAGTACCATTTAAAAAAATAGATTTCTTTGCACACAATGTAAGGTACAACCATATCTGGATGAATAAGAAACATTTTAGAAAATGCAGCAACCTGATTCCTGTACTGAGGTTAGTTTTACAAAAGATCCCTAAAGCAAGGAGAAAAAAATCCCAGTTTCCACAAATCCTACACCTTTTCCATGAATACCTTAAAAGGAAAAGAACCAAATTTGCATTAATCAACCTACCCATACAGTAATTACCCTGGATTGAATCACAAGACCAGGCAACTGAAAGCCAAAACCCTCTTGTGACTATGTCCTGGTTTCAGCTGGGATAGAGTTAGTTTTCTTCCTAGTAGCTGGCATAGTGCTGTGTTTTGGATTTAGGATGAGAAGAATGTTGATAACACGCTGATGTTTTAGTTGCTGCTAAGTAGTGCTTACACCAGTCAAGGACTTTTCAGCTTCCCATGCTCTGCCAGGTACACAAGGAACTGGGAGGGGGCACAGCCAGAATAGTTGACCCAAACTGGCCAAAGGGCTATTACATACCATATGAAGTCATGCTCAGTATATAAGCTGCAGGGAGTTGGCCGGGGAGCAGTGATTGCTGCTTGGGAACTGTCTGGGTATCAGTCAGCAGGTGGTGAGCAATTGCATTGTGCATCACTTGTTTTGTATATTCCTTCATCATCATCATCATCATTATTATTATTATTATTATCATCATCATCATCATCTCTTCCTCTGCTGTCCTATTAAACTGCCTTTATCTCAACCCACAGGTTTTACTTTTTTTTTTACCCTGATTCTCACTCCCATCCCACTGCGGGGGGAGGGTGAGCGAGCAGCTGTGTGGTGCTTAGTTGCTGACTGAGGTTAAACCATGACAGACTACAGTTACACACATATGAGGGTATTTAAGGATTAGAGGATTCACTTTCATATGTCTGTTTAGTTAATCACTGAGACAACACTGTTCAACATAACTATCCATTTCATGATGAGGTGCACACCACACCACACATATACCTCACAAGGATGAGGTAATTGCTTACTTTGCTACCCGGACAGTGGTAAATGTGATTTGGGCAAAATCACCAAAACTGGAACTCAAACTTACAGAAGAGCATACCAAGTTTTAAAACCAAAGCCCAGTTGTTTAAAAAAACAAATCACACAGATGGCTACCAAATATCCAGATCTCCACATGATATATATTTTTGCGAAGTGTAGCTTACCTACATATACTGTCATTGTAGTCAAAGGAAACTTAGCTTTCCTACAGAAAAGATATTTGTGCCATTAACAATAACTGCTATAAGTACCCATTTACAGTATTTGAACTCCTAAAAGCTAAAAAGAACTTCAGGTATGAAGTACAGACAATGAATTATCTGACTTTGGTTAAAAAAAAAGTGGTTCTTTAATTGTCCTTTCCTCACAAAAAGTTTTCTAAATAAGCTAACAGAATCAGATTCTTGCTTAACAAATAACCTACAATACTGAGCTGAAGTTTCTGGATAGGCAGGTTTAAGACCCTTCAGCATGATGTGCAGACATCCAAACTAAGTTTAAGTACCCTCATACTGAAATGTGTCCAGCTGTGGTGGCAAAACTCATCCAGGGCAGGGAGCTTACGAAAGAGTTATTTCTACTCTGCACTGAGAGTTCAGATAGCAGTCAGGTGAAGAGATGAGGGGGAGTAAAGCTGCCCTTTCGCAAGACTTCTTTGAAGTCCCATTGTCTTCAGAACTCCTACAGTTGCGTATAATCCATTCCCAATCTACTCTTCAGTAATAAGCTAGAGGATTCCTCATGTATGCCTTTAGTTGTATCCTCAGATGCCTTACAAGTGTTAACCCGTCAGATACGACCATATTTCTTTTTCCTCTTTCACAATGATATCAAGCCTTCTGTTATTACTTGAGTTACTTGAAGCAAGTTACAACTGCTGTTTCAAAAGCAATCTCATTAGGATTCTCAAATACCTTGTTCCATTTTCTTTTTCAAAGACAGAACAAGCACAATGATTATGGGAAAGAAATAAGGGACAAATACAGTAACCCACAAATCCAAAATGCTGCTGCTAAGCACAGAATTCTCAATGGTGCCTTAATGTGTTAACTGACAAAACTTTTCAGAAAGTCCTTACCTAAAAAATTAATTACAGAAAAGTTGAAACTAAACCTAAACCCAGGGTCTAGTAAGACAGGCACATTTTATTGCTTATTTAACATGGGAAGTAGGCCTCAGCCTAGGAATCTGTAAGACATTAGAAATGTCTTTGGTAGGCATGCTCGGTATGACTCCACAGGCTCAGGGCTTGAGGCATCTTAATTGTGGAGGGGCAACTGCTCCTGACCACCACTGAACTCCAAACTCATCAGGAGTCAGGAGCTCTAGCCTCTCACAGAGCCGTTTGACTAACAGGTGGGTAGCAGCATCATAACTCCGCAAAAAGCAAAGCTTCCCAAATCCTAAGTGATGTCTGTTGGGATATTTACCATCTCGTAATCACAGAATAGTTGAGGTCAGAAGGGGCCTCTGGAGATTGTCTAGTCCAACTCCTGCTCAAAACACGGACAGCTAGAGCAGGTTGCTTAGGGCTGTACCAGTTGGACTTTGAATATTTCCAAGGTTGGAAACTCCACAACCTCCCTAAGTTCACCCTCAAAGCGAATAAAGTGTTTCCTGATTTTCAGAGGGAACCTCCTGCCTTTCAGTTTGTGCCCATCTCTTGTCCTGTCACTGGGCACCACCGAAAAGAGCCTGGCTCCATCTTGTTTGCACTCTCCCCTCAGGTACTTAAATGCATTGATGAGGTTTTTTCCCCCTCAGCTTTCTCCAGGTTGAACAGTCCCAGCTCTCTCAGCATTTCCTCATATAAGCAATGCTCCAGGCCCTTAATCATCTTGTGATGTGTAGTGTAGTGATGAGATAGCCCGGCACAACCCAACATCTTAAAACATTTCTTTGCTGAGGCCGAGATCAAGGTTACCATGCTGGACTTCATAGTGAAACACACCAACTGCTGCAGTTCTGAATGTTTCAACCACTAGCACAGCTACAGATAGAAAAGAGACAGACTTTTTATTGTTGAATATTTAACAAAAAGTTCATCACTTACTTAATGGCTTCACACATGTCCAGTCCCATTTTCACACAATTCTTGGCATGATTTTGAAGAGATATAGGTAGTCCAGAAACACAGTAGTAGCAGTCACCTAGGATTTTAATTCTCATACATTCATTTTCCTGGAGGAAAAAGCAAGGTGAGACAGTCACTTCCAACCTGAATTATATAAATGAAGGGTTATTGTTACAAAGACTGACTCAAATGATATTAGCAAAATCATTCTACTTAAGTTTGTTTCAGTAGAGAAGGATTTGGCTTGCCAAAAAAGAAGTGCTGTCAGAGAGTTTTGCATGGATGATTCCTCTGTTATGGTCCTTAATGGGCAAAACCAGGAAGTAAGTTCACGGCAAAACATGTATCTGCAGTGTTGTTCATGCCTTAGGTTAAAGAACTGAGCCAAAGTATCACGTACACAATCTAAATAAAGTCTTTTTGTTTGAAATACGAAATCAAGAGACCTAGCCTTCCACATTTACATGTTTGAAGACATACTATGCAATACTTTCTGAAACTAGCAATCATAATCTTATTTCTATCTTTTGTACTCTAAGGAAATATAAAGATTTTTATTTTTTTTTAGCCAATACTGGACAATAGTTTTTGAACCCCTTTATAGGGTTCCATGAGCTGTCTCTCTGTTGGTCCTATCAGAGTGAGCTATCTTGGGTTTCACAGGCTGTCACACTGGCAGAAACACACTGTTACACTCAGACCAGAGCCAGATCTTTTACTCATGTTTCAAGTCTAATCTTCCTGCCAAAGCCTCAGAAATGCTGTCTGAAGGTAGAAGAGTCCCCAAGAAGAAAAAATATTTTAAAGATGACTTACTTAACTAACCTCAGCAGCCCAGTAGAAACCCACCTTTGCAATCTGATCAAACTTGCCAAACAGCTCATTTAGCATGTGCACCAATTCCCCTGGCGAGCAGTCACTGGCCAAGCGAGTGAATCCCACGATATCAGCATACAAGATGCTACAATAGAAATGAGCAGAAACTTGGTCAGTTTCCTTCTGCAGAACTCAGATTTATCAATCAACAGCAAAACCTGGAAGCAGGCATTCTGGACTTCACAGAAATATGCCCATACACAAACCAGCCACTGCTAAATACAGAGCAATAAATAGAACTATATTTATAGGTAAATCTACATTTACCTTTACAGGTGTTCTGTTTATATGTAATATATAACTATTTTTACCTTTATAAGTATTACTTTTACAGGTACACTTGTATTTATAGGTATTTATAGGCATTCTATACCTATATTTGTTACAGTGTATTCAAAAAATAGAAACTTTTTTCCTACTCACAAATTGGCAATATAATAATGGAAAATATTTTAATAAGCATGTTTGTTATCAGAAATTGTTTAGTAACTTTTTATAATTGTAGACATTTTCTGTCTAGGTTTACCTGTCAATGATATCCAGCATGGAAGTCTTTGTTCACTTGTTACTCAGACTATTAAATTCAAGCTTGATTGCTAAGATATTCAAGCCATACACTATGTTTCTATTCATCAGGAAAACCTGACCAATTCATAGGATCAGGCTAAGGAAAAAGTATTTGTGCTTGCAAGTGAAAATGCTTGCTTTAAAAATGTAATTTGTATAAATGTAATTTCTAAGAATGTAATTTCTAAGAACATCATTCAAATTAACTTGTCCAATCAAAAAACCAGGCAAAACAACTTGTAAAAATGAAAGAATATTTGAAATTAATAGTCTATTATTCTTCTAATTTCTAGAAAATTTTAATAAATAATTAATTTGTCAGCAGAATATTTTCTCAGGTACTGTGTAAAATACATATGAGATACAGCTGCCTCTATTTACATTATATAAAACCTGAGAAATTGCTCCAGTTAAGAAAATTGCAAATTTAGAATAATATAACTGACACGAATTAGAATTTTGACTAGTATACATGAAAGCAGGATTTGGTACTTTACCTCGAAAACTTAAGACATTATGAAGAAAGCCTGTTAATGCATGTTTTTTTTCTAAACAACCGCTTTATATTGTCACCTTTGTTGCTCTTCTGGAACACAGAATTGTTAGCATTTGATCAAAGTAATGGATACTAAACATTAAGTTGTTGAAAAACATATTAAAACAAGTATTTTCTTAATTGGTCTCTTAACACTTTCTTTTCAAAATTTTTCTGAATGTTGTTGATACATTTTATTATAGTACAATACCTTACATTGGTGTGCCTTTTGACATACAAATTGTGGAAGTTGTTGGTGTTTTCCAGTTGGCCTGCCTTGGGACCTTGCAACCTCTGAATGATCTCTGCTTTCATTTCCATGGCAATGTGAGCAGGTAGTAAAGAAAGTAGAAGACGCTCCTAAAATTTAAAAAGAAATGTCCACAATTTCTTTAAGGAGAACAAAATTAACACGGAAGCAATACTGTGTAAGGCATACGCTATTGTCAATACCCTAGAACATTTTGATGAGGCTTGTACTCAGGAATTTGCCTGCTATGGCCTCCAGAATTAATCAGTTCCTTGAAGAACTTGACAGAGATATACACACATTTCCAAGTAATATCTAACTTCTTTGAGGTTTTGTGTATATTAGAAAATGCTTAAGCTAAGCTTAAGATCTGCAGTTATGTACAGTAATCTATTCAATAGTTGAGTAGGATGCAGGAAATACGGATTAGCAAATAAAGCAAGAGCTTCAAGGACTGTTCAGAGGACTTCAGGGAAATGCAGCCCAATTCAGGCAAGAGTAGGCTAAATCTTTTTATTTTTTTAATGTATTTTAAATGTCTGGTCATAGTTTTAGCAGTTGTTAGACTGAAAATGAAAATATAAAATCAGGACACAGAACATATTGAAAATGTTGGACTTCTGTAGACTATTTTGATACGTACTCTCCCCTTACTTTAATATGGCATTTGACAAACTAAAGTTTTTTGAAAATATTAACCTAAAAGGAAACTGAATATTTTTTAAAAAAACTACATATTTTTCCTTACCTTTTGTTGGTATTATACTCATGGTATTCTCCTTGTGAAGCTCTCTTACATCAGTACATTTTAATTTTGCCCATTTTACCTGTGACCACTTTTCATTGAGTTCCTACTTCTCTGGAAAACTGAATCAACAAGGGGATAGCGAGAACTCTGAAAAAAAAACCCTTCCTGCTTTGATCATACTCCTCCTCAAAAATGAACAACAATTTCCCATTTTCTCGTAGGCAGAAGGGAGAGGCTAATTCTGGCTAAGCACAAAAAACAGAACCCTGAACCAGTGAGGAAGGAGAAGGCAGCTGTAAAAGCCCATGATGGAGTCACAGAGAGAAACAGCTACACCAGAAAAGATGACGACCTCAAAATGTGCATGGTCTGCAGGTGTTACTCACAGCGATGCATTCTCTTTGGTTCACAACGTGTATTTTTGCAGAGTTTGCAGTTCTACTCATGAAGGTACCAGAAGTGTAACCATTAATCCAATGCTCTGCCTGAGATAATTATTCCTGTTCAGGTCTAATGACCTGGAGTAGAGCATGGCAATAACAGGGCTATAGACTTTCTGAAATTTGCAGCTACCTCAGCTATCTATCTCTGTAACATATAATGAAGACTTCCCATTCCCCACAGCATTTGTATACCTGTAAGCATAGCATTAACTTATATGAGTCCCTATGAAACTGATCCTGCACATACTTTCTAAAAAAATTCTAATTCAGTGAATCAAGGCAGAATCTTGCTTTGTTCCTAAGTAATTTTGAACTAATAATTTTCTTTTTTTTTCACTTTGGTGAGATCTAAACATAATTTTGATTCACATATGTCTGGACTGCTCTTTATTTTGCATACTAAGGCATATCACATAAACAGTAAGACAAGTTATGAAATAAATGTTCAAGGTAAAGCATATCTGTCTCTAGTCTGACCAGAGGAGGCAAGAATAAAAGATGTACTCTTTTCCTACTGCTAGGATCTCAGATTTGACACCTTGTAACTGGAAGAATATATACAATTGACTTTTCATCAAAACGCTAATGTGGCTTTATTTCTTAAATGCAAGATTAGTTTAGTATGTTTAGGCTTTTTAGCAAGTACACATCCAAGAGACCAATGTATTTTCATTTCTAATGTAGTCCACTGGTCTTCGGTGGAGGTATTTTGCTAATTTATAAAGAATGCCGCCTGAAAAACCAATGGATTTTTTTCCGTAATGAAAGCTTACTCTCGCAAGTTGCTCTTTATCTAACAGAAAGCTACTCTTTTGTGATGTACAGGACAGGTCAGCACTTGTTAATAATTACCTTAAAGAGTTAACAAAGAGGTGAGTGCTCTTAGCTGCAGTTTTACATTACTGTGCTCCTGTTGTACCATGGCTAGTAAATGCCAGCTAGCTCACTGTCTTCCTATGACTCTGTTACGATTCCAGACACGCAGTGAGGCAGACACTCAATGTCCAGGTTACTGCTTATGTCTTTGAAACCCAGAGAGGCTGGCAAAAGGTCAAAGAGAAAAGCAACAAAAGTTTTCAAGAAAGCAATAGAAAAAGCAATAGAAAAAGTTTTCATAGGAAGCAGCATAAAGTCAACTCCAAGCTAAAGAATCATAAGAGGAAAGGGAAAACAGAATGCCCTTATTTTGTAGGCAACAGCAGGAGAGGACTTTTCCTCTCCTTTTTCTCTCTAGGCCAGACCACTGTCCCATTCTGCTTAAATGTCCTGGTGAAGCTGTCACCACACCAGAACTTCCCTCCAAAGAATGTTTTCCTTCCTCCATTTCCACTGTACAAAACAGAAGGTTACAACCAGAGGCGCCTTTAGAGAACTGCAATTGGTTGCAATTGCAGAGAACTGCAAAATATCCTGCCACACCCAGCTACATCTAAGCACTTCAGCCACCCTCTCCATCATGTGGGCTGCGAGTGCTCACATTTCAGTCCTGAAGTTAACCACTTGTGTGATAATGTGTTACCAAGTCACATATTACATTTCACACAAATTGTTAATTTTGGTTTCTTTCACTAAAAGACAACTGTAAAAGAAGCTGAATTTCAACTATTTATGACGACCATGGCTGGGCTGGTCAGCTAGCCAAATACAAAATGGTTACAAATACCTTGTGCCCTCTCTCTCTGCTAAAAGGTCCTAAGAAATGCAAGGTGCTTAAGAACACCTCCTCCTTCAGGTTTTGGCATCTCTTGTGGCTAAAAAGAGCATAGTGGAAGGTTCAAAATCTATTACTGATCAGACTGTAGTGCCTGATGTGCACTGAAATTTCTGCAGACTGGAACAGTGTGAAGAACATAGCAAATCAAGACTGCTGCTTATGATGGCTTTTTATTTGATAATACATTCTGTACTAGTCTCTCAAAAAGACAGAAAAAGTACACATCAAAACCTAGGTGAACTGACATACAAGACACTGAGACAAAACACTTGCCTAACTGTAGTAGACAGACAAGCCACTCTCAGAGCTACAGTCTGTAAGAAAAAAGCCAAGGTAATTCTGAATGCAGGTCAAGATGCAGCATTTAAGTCTTCAGACTAAAAATATCAGTACCCACTTCTGGTGAAAAAGAAACTGTGGTGCTATGGCAATAATTAAAATCCCCTCACAAATGTCTTTCCTTGAAATATTGCCAACATGACCTTACAGCCAGTACATGTGATTCATGCACACAAGACTATTTCCTGACTGTTCATGTTCTCTGGGGGTATGCTTTCCCCTCACACTCAGATCACTTGTAGCTGAGATCTTTAAGTCCTAGGGCTAAAATAGAGAGCACGCAATCCATACTGAATACAACATTATCGTATCTTTCAATACTGTTGGGTTATGTAGTCCTCTCTTCTCAGAACACATCATCTGGATCCCAGAAGATGGCTAGCAAGTAGTCATTCTCCCTGGATTCTCTAACAGGTTTTTCAGTGGTATCTGTCAAACAGTTTCTTGAGTTCCTGCTCGCTCAAACTCTCACATCCAAGTTGATTTCCTTGTCAGAATTTTCCCTAAATTACAGAGATTACTTTAGCAGTCATTGCCAGTTACTCGTCACTCCCCTAAAGCTCGATAAAGGATGTTTGTTTAGCTGCAGTAAGTTAGCATAGCTCAGTTAAAGATCATAGGACTTCGTTGGTTTTTGCAAGGTGGGAACTGCGTTTGCTGTATCTTGCACGATGGAGGTCATGCTGTCGTTATGCAGTAAGCAAGCAAAATATCCCCAAATGCTTGGTACAGTGCATTTTCTTAAGTGCATATTTCACAAATCCAATATTACCAAAGGGTAAATAATTTGAAGAATTTATAGATTTAAAGGCCAAATATTCTTCCATCTAGTCCAATCTCTTGAATAATATAGACAACAGAATGTCATCATGTATAAACAAAGGTATTTTGATAGGGCTCACCACATTAAAATTAGCTTAGCACCTGATTCTCAGTGGAGAGAAACTGTCCTTCAAGGCAATTCACAGAATCTAACATACTGAATTCCTGTAGGGGGCAAGTCTGTCTGTCTGTCTCTCTCTCCCTCTCCCTCCTCCCCCATCTTGTCTATGGAGGGAACTGCAGGTCCAAATTTTGGTCTTACTGGAAGAAATGTCCATCTTTGTTGTTGAGCTTCTAATGTTGAAGAAGCCTGCAGAAAAACTACATATATGTAGATCAAGGAAGTGATATAGGGACATTTTTGTCCCTATAATCCCATATAGGGATATTTTTGTCCCATACAATGTCATTTAGGGCACTCAATATTGAATTCTACTTTTCTGTGGGCTGGGCTTTGTTTTCAGACTCCTGTAGCATATGTCTAATCATCTATTTAGCAAGTTTCACAAACCAGGTCAATAAGTCAGCAGTAAGAGCTCTAGAAGCAATTAGCCTATACATGCATCCAGCTTCACAACAAAGTTTACAAATAAACATGGTTAAAACAAAATTTTCATCTGCCCTTGAAATGTACCAAGGAATAACCTATAAGAAAGGAATCTTGTGATTTCTGATCACACAATCGTGAATCAGCCATGTGGCTGATAGAGATGGTGATCAATAGGGTACTTGTTTTGCAAATTATGGTACTGTTTACCCAGATGTCATGCACATTCTCTTAAACACACCTACTAGGATAAACAGCTGTAAATTATTTTTTCTTAAAGCCAACTTGGACTCCTAACTGGGAGGGGAAATGGTTTTTAAAAATTAGGTGCTATTATCTGCTTAAATTTAGCCTATGTTAGTAACCTCCACCTACCTTATTACTCGTACTGAGACCAATAAATTGCAATTTACTCATACACACCAAGAAAGGTATTCAATCTTGATTACAGAGACATTAAGAGATGGAGAATTCATTAACTCCTTAGCTGTTTGTTC